TGCAGATGCGTCCTCAGCAGCAGCAGCAGCAGCAGCAGCAGATGCGTCCTTAGCAGCAGGTGCTGCAATGGAAGAAGCGGATGAGGAGGTGCTGCCGTGGTTGCTGCAGACGCGGAGCTCCGTTTTGCTGCTGCTGCTGCTGCTGCTGTGGGGCGGTTTGCTGCTCGCTAGCTGCTGGGTGCTGCGGCTGCAGCGGTGGAAGGACTACCGCATCTGCGGCCCAGCAGCAGCAGCAGCAGCAGCAACAGGTGGAGCAGCAGCAGCAGCAGCAGCAACGCATGTATTTGTTGCTGCTGGTGCAGATGACAAGGAGGATTTCCTGGTGCCAATAGAGCTGCTGCAGCGCCCGTCAGCAACAGCAGCAGCAGCAGCAGCAGCGAAACGGCCACAGCGTTCCAAAGGCACGCATCAGCAGCAGCAGCAGCAGCAGCAACAGCAGCAGCAGCAGCAGCAGCAGCAGCAGNCAGCAGCAGCAGCAGCAGCAGCAGCAGCAGTATGAGCTGCTGATAACACTTAGGGGCCAGCGGTATTTGTATGATATAGAGAGAGGAGATTTCTTCCCTGTCGAGGCCCCGCAGCACCTGCCGCTGCGTTGCTACTTGGGTTGGACGGGGCTGACTGAGGGCAGTGCAGCAGCAGCAGGAGCAGCATCTGCTGCTGCAGCAACAACAACAGCAGCAGCAGCAGCAGCAGCAGCAGAAAGCATGGATAAGTTTGTGGGGGACGCGCAGCTGCGGTTTGGGCGCAACTGCTGCGAGGTGCCGGTACCCCCCTTTGGTGTGCTGCTGCAGCAGCAGCTGCTGTCTCCTTTCTTTTGCTTTCAGACTGCATGCGTTTGTTTGTGGCTGCTTGATGGTTACTGGGGGTTTCCCCTTTCTACGCTCTTTCTCCTAATAGTAGTTGAGGCGCAGGTATGCTGCTGCTGCTTCTGCTGCTGCTGTTCCTGCTGCTGCTGCTGCTTGTGCTGCTGCTGTTCCTGCTGCTGCTGCTACTCCTGCTCTAGGATCTGCTGCTGCTGCTGCTGTGGGCGCATCCTTGTGTTTGCTCTTGCGGCAGCTGCTGCTGCAGCAGCTGCTGTATTTGCTGCTGCTGCAGCTGCTGCTGGGACCCTGTAGCTGTGCTTGCTGCTGCTG